AGGAGGTTTCTGGGGGAGGGTGAGGAACATGCAGAGCACCCGGCAGAGGGAGGACCCCCGACATTTTGGGGAGGGGAAGAGGTGGAGAGGGGGCCTGGAACCACACGGCTTCTCGCATTGCAGACCCAAGGCGCCTGGCCACACGCCTCCCGCGTGGAGGTGCAGCTGGTTTGAATGTCCCATTAGAACCGCGTGACGAAATGCCCTGAGCCAAGGCGGTCCGGCAGAGGTCCCGGAGAAAGCCTGGACCTCTGCGCAGCCACTCCTGTCCTGCCTTTATCAGATTAAAGTAGATGCTGGAGGGTCTGGGCAGAGAGCCCTGGCTTGTTTCCCATCTCTAAGTGGGGGTGACAGGACAGACTCCAGGAGTGTTGTGAAGAGCAGACTGAATCGCTGCAGAAGATGCTCGGCCCTGTGTCTGGCACGCGCTAGGAGCCCTACAGCGTGCTTGTTGCCAGGACTGTCTGGAAACCCCAGGATAAGCAGCGGACCTGGCTTCTCAAGGGACTCCTTGGCTGAAATTTCTGATGGCTTGGGCCCAGCATCTTTGGAAATTTTATGTGTTTGATACTTTACAACCTTTGAAGCTCGGGTTCCTGTCCCACGCAGGAGTACTGTAGAAACACCATGAGCCACAGACTGAGTGCACGCATGCACGCGTGTGCACACACATACACACACACACGCTGTACAGGTGAGTAGTGGTAGTGCTGTCCGCCGGTCCACCATGGACTGAGCTGGTGTGGCTCAGGCCCAGGCTGGGTGCTGGCCTGAGGGCTGTGGCTCCAGCGCTGTGCCAGGGCTGGCTCCCACCAGCTCACAAGAGCCGGCTGTGCACATCTCTCCCAACCCCACATTCCGGGATATTACGTTGGTAGTTGGAAATCGACCATGGTGAGAGTATTTACACCACAGTAATCAGCAAATGCTACAAATTACGTCCTGCTCCTCCCACCAAAAGCCAGCTGTTCAGCATTAACAGCACCCCACTTTGTGGCTCCCAGCAGCTGGTGGCCTCAGGAGGCCCTTCCTCTAAAGTGTGCTCCATGGACCAGCAGCATCGATTGGCATCACTTAGGAATTGGTAGAAATGCAGAACCCTACCCTCCCGCGGGTCTCTGAATCAGACTCCCTGGGGCTGGCGTCCAGCAGGCTGTATTCATCAAGATCCTCAGGAAGGCTAAAGCCTGAGAGGCTAAGCGCCTGGGAAGAGCAGAAGGGGTTTGAGAGGGGAAGTGGGACATCCAGTCTTAGAGTGTCACTGTCCCACTGCACAGTCAGGTGTCCTCTGATTTCCCCTCTTTATGGTTCAAATATCATATAGAGAAAATTTAGAGAAAAAAATCCATATTTCCACCAGCCACACAAGTATTCTCGTTTCTCTGCCTTTCTTCCATAATTTGATCCTATTTATATCAAGATCAATTGCTGGTGCATTTGTTTTCCACACATTAGTGTGTGGCACGTTTGCATCCCAATTTCTTCCTGAACAGCCAGTGCCTCAGACTTTGACATGGTCGCCAAGACCTGCTGAGTTTTTTAAGAAGAGATTTGGTGCCGTTCCCTTGGCTGCCTTTTGTTTTTCTCCAGCGCTGGCATGCTGTACAGACGCGGTTGGTACCTGGAACGTAATCTTCAGAATTAACATTCCTCGTGCTGGGCCTGGCCCGGAGGGCAGGAGCCAAACAAGCCTCTTGGTCAGGGGCAGGGCCCCATGGAAAGGAGCAGGGGCCCTAATCCGTTTTGTTCTGGGAAGTATTTTGACACAGCTTGGCTCCATGGCTTATAAACAAGCACTTTGTTGGCTGGGGGTGAGGCAGTCACAACTCTGTTTAGAAGGAAGCCTTTCATGATGTGGCTTGTTTACCCTTTAGCTTTAGGTAAAGAATGGGTCTGTAAACTGCCTGGGTTTCGGGTAATATGAATCACTTATTAATCGGTGACACCACGGGGCAGTGAAAGGCTCCGGGAAACCAGCATCCCCCTCTCAGGTACCTTGTAGCTTTTCATAACAGACCTTGCTCATTCATCCAACAAATATTTATTGGGTGCCTCCTCTGACCCCGTCACTTCAAGAGATGGGGCCAGTGGGAGACAGAGAAACTCTAGAACAATGTGCAATCTTCTGACCAGGTGCTCACTTGGCCTGACAGTCAGTGGGGACAGGAAGGGAGAGCAACTGCAAGAAGGCAATGTTTGGCCTGGCCTTGAGGGAGAAGTGGAGAGCTCCAGGCCAACAGCATCCCAGAGGGAGGAAATATCTTGTGCAAAGTGTGGAGGCAGAAAGTAGGCATTTACTGATGGAGAGTGGTTCAGAATATTTCCGGGGCGTGGGGGTGCTGGAAGATGAGTGGCAGGAAATGAGGTGGCACTAGGGACAGGTGTTAGGTGTCAAGTCCTCACTATGCCACGATAAGCTGTTTGTCTTTGTTCTGCACTTACTCTTGAGGGGGCACCATCCACCCAACCTACATCCATCTACTCCCATCTCATCCATCCATCAGCTCACCCACCCACCAGTCCACCCTCCCCTCGGGGTCCATCCACCTGTCAACCACCATCCATCCTTCCACCCACCCACCAATCCACCCTCCCCTCAGTGTCCATCCACCTGCCAACCACCATCCATCCACCCACCCACCCACCCACCAATCCACCCTCTCCTCAGTGTCCATCCACCTGTCAACCATCATCCATCCATTCATCCACCCACCCACCAATCCATCCTCTCCTCAGTGTCCATCCACCTGCCAACCATCATCCATCCATTCATCCACCCACCCACCAATCCACCCTCTCCTCAGTGTCCATCCACCTGTCAACCATCATCCATCCATTCATCCACCCACCCACCAATCCATCCTCTCCTCAGTGTCCATCCACCTGTCAACCATCATCCATCCTTCCACGCACCCGCCCACCAATCCACCCTCTCCTCAGTGTCCATCCACCTGTCAACCATCATCCATCCTTCCACGCACCCGCCCACCAATCCACCCTCTCCTCAGTGTCCATCCACCTGTCAACCATCATCCATCCTTCCACGCACCCGCCCACCAATCCACCCTCTCAGTGTCCATCCATCCGTCAACCATCATTCATCCTTCCCCCCCACCAATCCATCCTCTCCTCAGTGTCCATCCACCCATCAACCATCCTCCATCCATCCATCCATCTACTCATCCAGCCTAAGCACACTCTGTACCAGGCACAAGATATTTTCTGGGTCCTGAAGGTCTTGTGGTTCCCCTAGCAACTCCTTACACATATTCACTTCAGAATGACTCCACCCTACCTGTCTCCACCTACAGACTATGCAGGTGATGGTGTTGTTAGAAACAAGGCATTAAATAGTCACGTGACAGCAAGGCTCACCTGGTCTGATGGTTGGGAAATGTGTACCAGGATAAGGGTATCAGGGGTAGGTGTGCTGAACACAGAATGACAAGGAAATCTCCCCCTGACAAAGAATTCCCTCAAAGTCAGGTACGAGGCTGTTAGAGCACGGGGCAGCACTCGCCCCTCCACAATTCTCATGTATTCATGCCCTTCAAATGAAAAAAACAGTCAGAGAATTAAAAATGCACTAGTTAAAAAAAACCTCTGTGGATTAACCTTTTTGGGGAGTTTTTTGAGCTGGTGGGGGTGAGGATGGGGGAGCAGAGTTTTAGGTCATGGTCTTCTTAAATGGGTTAAATTTTGTAAATACTTTGGTCTAATATCTTTCATTGTTCTTTATGGTGAAAAAACCATTCCTGCTGATTATGGAAGACATAACACACACACACACACACACACACACACACACACACACAGAGTACAAATACACAAAAATCGCCCAGAGATAACTAGTGTTAACACTTTGGTGTATTTTTTTCCCATTCTCTTTTCTCTGCATATTTTTAAACATAATTGAGATCATCCATTTTATACAGCTTTGAGTCTGACTTCCCCTCCCTCCACTTAATATATGATATGAGAAAATGCTCACAGAAAATTGCTTGAAAACTCCATCTTAACAGCTGCAAAGAGCCCCATTGCATGGATGTTGCATAATTCATTGATCCGACCCCCTTTAGTTGAGGGCTTAGGAAGTTTCCAATGTTTTGCTCTTATTAAAAGATCGAGATCATTCTTCTATTTTCTACCTTCTGTCAGAACTCTGATGATTTCCTTTAGGTAGAATTTTAGAAATTGAACAACTAAAAAAAATTTTTTTCAATGCTGAAACTTCAATTTCTATTGTCATACTGCCTTCCAAAAAGACACTTGGCCTCCACAGAGGCTCTGTGGCATATCACAGAAGGGGGTCCCCAGCTCTGGAACGTTAAGGGGATGCAGTGTGAATGTGTTGCTGTCCGTCTATTCAGTGAGAGTGATATGATGCTTGAGAGGAAAATTTGTAAAAACACACAGACACACAGACAGAACAGAAGGATTTGCTTTTCTTGCCTTCGTGGTTCCAAATCCAAACCAAACTTTCTATAAAAATTTTAAAGAAATGGCTCAAGATCCCTTTAACCTGAGTTTCAAATCGTGCTGCCGGGAATCTAAGTTTCTGATCTGAAAGTTGCAATATGCAAGCTTCTGGTGAACAAGAAAATTTCCTGCTCACATTTTACACTTGAACGTAAAGTTTATTCACTAGAAGTCAGACCATTGCCACCTCTCCTCCTCCTGAGGCAGGAAAACCGTGTCTGCCAGCCTCTGGCCGGGAAGGGTGTGGTGGGGGGCTGGCTGCCCGTGGGATGGGGTTGGGGGTTACAGAAGGCTCCGGGAGGCAGATTTGGATCAGAGCCCAGGCTGAGGACCCAGGTGTCCGGGATCCGACTCCCGGCTCTGTAACTTTGGGCAAATCACTGACGCTCTCTAGCCTCGGTTTACTGGTCTGGAATATGGGACCACCCAGCGCGCATGCCCAGGCGCGTGGGCGTGAATGCCCTCCGGCGCGAAGTCGCCCAGCCGGTCCCGCGGGGCCGAGCCGAGCCGGGCGCACTCACCTCCGCCGTACATCTGGCACAGGTAGGGGAAGCGCCACACGTTGCCCAGGCCCACGGCGTACGAGATGCAGGCGAACACGAACTGCAGCGGGTTGTCCCACAGCGGCCGCGCCTTCTCCATGGCCGCGGAGCTCGCTCCCGCTCGGGCGCCGCGCTCTGCTGCTTTGCTGCGCGGCCGCCAGGCGCCCCGTCCCGTCCGGCTCGGCCTGGGGTGCCCCGCGTCGCTGCCGCTCGCCCGCTTTTTAATTGCTAATCTCGTTAACGGCGCGCCCGTCGGAGGGGCGAGGCTGGTAAATGGATGACGACGAGCCCCACCCCGCCTGGCCACCGCCGCCGGGAAGGCGCCCGAGATTGCGAGGTACAGGGCGGCGCCCCGGTCCCTCTGGCTCGACGTCGGGCCCGTGTGTCGTGTGCGGAGCTCCTTGGAGTGGTCTGGTTCCCTCAACCCCCTGCCCATCATTGACTGAGTGCCTGCTGTGTGCTAGGCTTTGTCTGGGGACAGGGCTGTGAACAACGCAACCATCCCCAACTCTCCTGGAGCTGACATTCTGGTAGAGGGAAATGCTCACACTGGACTGGGTAAAATGTCCCATTTTCAACTATTTTGACCTACAGAAACCTACCAGTTTCATATGGTTCATCCTAATCCATATATACGACGGAGAGACGCAAGAAAGGCAACTGAGGCAAAGCCAGGGGGTTAGCAGTCCCGGGTGGTGGGCTGGGTGGTCGCAGGGGCTTCCTAGAGACCGGAAGGAAGTGGGGGACACCCCCTTACCACCCCTACCTCCCACCCCCTTCACCCCTCCCATTCACCCGCACCCCCAGCACGTCCCCCCTAGGCAGAGGAAGAGCACCCAGGCGCGGGGTTTCCTTGGGTCTACAGGTGGGCCCTCGGCGCCTGCTGTGTGCAGGGTCTGGAGTCTGGCTCTGCAGTGTCGGTGCGGCCAAGAAGCGGGTTTTGAACAACCGCTGTGGGAGACTCTACTGCTCAGCCCAGTCTAGGGACCAGCGATTCTGATTCATTAGGGTTGGGGCCTGAGAAACCTCGTATTTCTATTAGTCCGGAAAGGTGATTTGGTTCAGGGTGGTCGCTAGACACGACTAAGCCAGGTGCTTTGGAGTAATTCAGGGTCTGGCTTTGAATCTCATTCTGCCACTGACTTAGCTGTGTGACCTTGGACAAGTCACTTAACTAACCTCTCTGAGCCTCTGTTTCCTCACCTGTAATGGGAACAAATAGTTTTTCCCTCCCAAGGCTCATGTGAGAATTAATTGATGACTTAGCTTAGCACCTGGCACACAATAAGGGCTCAGTCAAGAGGCCATTCTCATAAGGCCCCAACAGGATGAATGAATGGATACGTCAGGCACTAAATCAGTGAGTATTAGTGACACCCTTTGAACGGGGCCTGGTACACAGCAAGAGCTAAGAAAATGCTTGATAAATAAAAAGATACATAAAGTTAAAAAGAGAGGAGAAGCCTGGTTGCTGGTGGAAATCTTACTAGAAGCTGGAATGCAACCCCCCCTCTGGGACGGTCCCTCCTTGGGCTTTCCCTGGAGCCCCCACCTGGCTGGTGGCAGGGGAGAATGGGGGTGTGGGGAGGAGGGGGAGAGCCCTCAGACGTACCACCCGTCCTTGAACTTTCTACCTCCAAAAAGCAGACAAAGTCTGCAGTACGGCAGGAGACACTTTGGATTTTTAAACTTTGGGTTCTCGAGTGTTTTTCCTGCCCCTCGCCTCCTCCCACAGGAGCCCACTCCCCTGGTTTCTCTCGCTGTAGGTTAGTTTCAGCTGCGTTGACCTTGACAGAAGGGACTCCCTGCGTGCGGTCTGCGCTCTCGGGTCCTGGTTGCGGGTGTGGGACTCACTCAGGCTCTGGCTCTGCTGCTGCGGAGCGGCCCGGGGCGTGAACATGCTCTCGTCTACCACTGATGGGTGCCCGTGCTGTCTCCAGTCTGGGGCTCTTCTGAATAACGCGGTTCTGAATGAGCCTCCTCGTGTGTGTGCTTGGGTGGATGAGCGCTCTGTTGCTGGAACTTCTGGGCGGTAGGTGGGTGTGTGATCAGCTGCAGGACAGATTGCCACACTGTCTTCCGGGAGGGAGCACGGGCCACACTCCCACGAGAGTTTCGGTTGCCCTACATCCTCACGAAGGCTTGTCATTCTCTTTTTGAAGTTCTGCCCAGTCTTGTGGGTGTGTAGTGATAGTTCACTGTGGCTTTTCACTTTAATTTCCCTAATATTAATAAGGCTGCCTACTTTTCCATAGGCTAATTGGGTCACCAGACATCCTATGGCATGAAGTGCCTGGTCAAGTCTTTTGCCAGTTGCTAATTGGCGTGTCTTTCTTTGTTTGCTGATTTACAGTTCTTTATATACCCTAGATATGAACTCTTTGTCAGTTTTTCTTTTCTCCCCAAAGCCCCAGTACATAGTTGTATATCCTAGTTGCAGGTCATTCTAGTTCTTCTATGTGGGACACCAGAGCGTGGCTTGATGAGCGGTGCCATGTCTGCCCCCAGGATCCGAACCTGTGAACCCTGGGCCACTGAGGCAGAGGGCGCAAACCTAACCACTGGGCCATGGGGCTGGCCCCTCTTTGTCAGTTTTATGTACTACAAATTTCTTCTCTCCGTCTGTGGTCACCTTTTTATTCTATTAGTGGTGTCTTCTGATGAACAGGTGTTCTTAACAGTTCAATTTACCAATCTATTCCTTTAGTGACTCTTTTTTTGGAATGTCCTTTTCAGAAATCTCTCCCTTGTCAACCCAAGGTCATGAAGATATTTCTGAGAATTTAAATTTATGGCAAATCAAGTCTCAGCGATCCATGGAGAGGGCTGCCTTTTTAATGTTGTTGAATAGTATAGACAGAAGGCATGCTGCTGCCTCCAGCCAGCCACTTGGCGTGTTCTTCTTCTCATAAATGGATTTTCCCTAGAGGGCACCTGGCTATGTGGTGGCTCTCAGGAACTGGGCCCCCGGAGAGAGGCCAGTGCAGTTGCCTGCACCTGGGGTGCTGGGCATTTGTTGGTTTGACCCAGGCAAGGCCCCTCTTCAATTCCCTGCCCCAGGGATCAGGCCGGCACTCCCTCCAGTCACACTGCGGGACTCCCTGGGAGCCTGTCCAGGGCATGAGGCCTGGGTAGGGGCTGTGGGCAGCACAAGGAGACAGCCCCATAACAGGACTGAGGGTATCCTCGGGGGCAGGTGCTCAGGGCTCCTGATAAGGTCCCCACACCTTCCTGAAATCCATCTGATAGCTTTAACCTGATGGGCCAGTCGTGCTGTGTGGCTGCTAGACGTGGGAAGAAGAGGCCTGGGATGGTGGGTGGGCTCCACAGGGAGCGGGAAAGCAGGGGTGGAGGTTAGTGGTGTGGTGGTAAATGGTTAACAACCAGCTCTCTGCAGAAAAAGCTCTGATTTGTAGCATTTACCAATTTCTACGGTGTAAATACTCCCACTATGGCCGATCCCAAGCCAGCAACGTGATGTCTGGAACGGGGAGTTAGGGAGAGACGTGCAGTAGCACATCGTTACATTAAATTTCCATCACACATAAGCAGTAGACATAACCTCAAGAGCGTAGATAGTAGTGGAGTAAATAATTAGGAAGTGATGGGTTTTGAGTATTTATTGCCTCTGTTTTAAATCACTTATTTGTTAGTTTGTATAACAATTTTTAATAATGGCTGTGTTTAACAACCGACTCACAAAATTCCTGAAAATGTACCACCTGGCACTCACGAGCTTCTGGGAGCTGGCTCCAGCGCTCCACGGGCGCCTGGGGCTGGGGGAGCAGCTTCTGTGCAGCAGGGGCCAGGGGGGGCGAGTTCAGCTCTCAGTGGGCTGGCGCCGAGGGCACAGGGTTTCAGCTGAGCTGAGCCCCAGCCTGAGTGCTCCCAGGGCGCCTCCAGTACCAGCAGGGAAGAGAGCTTCTGTGGCCTGGCCTGTCCGGTCTCCCAGTGCCACATGTCAATCAAGACAATTCCCAGGGATCGCAGGCCAGCCTCCTGGAGTTATCTTATTTCTGGAACAGGGTGGAGGCAGAGGGAAGGGCCTGGCTCAGGTGCATGGGTGTGGCACGCCTGGGCCAGGATTCCAGATTCTTACCACCGCCCCCAAGTTATGGCCACGGCCACACCGCTTCCAATGATGTGTTCGGCCCAGTGATCCGCTGTTACTTAACCCCCATCAGTGGCTCCTGGTTCCCCGCAAGATAAAGTCCAAACTCCTCAGCCTGGTCTGTACGGCCTTGAGGATTTTTTTTTTAATTAGGCCTTGAGGAATTTGACCCTTGCTCACCTAGGTTCCAGGAGAAGCTAGACTTTTCACCTTCTGGAAAATGCTGTGCATGTTCATACTTCTGGGCAGTTCCGTCAGCCAGGAACACCCTCTCCCTACTCGACTCAGGAAAAGTCTATCCATTCTTCTTGACCCCAATGAAATAGCACCCTTTTTAAGAAGCCCCAGGGGCAGGGCCGTGGCCGAGTGCTTAAGTTTGTGTGCTCTGCTTTGGCAGCCCTGGGTTCACTGGTTTGAATCCCGGGAGAGCACCTACACCACTCATCAGGCTGTGCTGTGGCGACGTCCCACATAGCAGAACTAGAATGACCTACAACTAGGATATACAACTATGTACTGAGCTTTTGGGGAGAAAAAAATAAGAGGAAGATTGGCAACAGATATTAGCTCAGGGCTAATCTTCCTCACCAAAAAGCATATCTTTAAAAAAAAAAAAGGCAGCACCATCCCCATATCCCCAGCCAGAATACACTGTCCCTCTTTCCTGCCCCCAAGCCCGGGGTGCATATCATGTTTCCAACACTTCCAGTGCTGCCTTGTCACGAAGAGTGCAAGATGTGTGTCCCCACTGGGCTGTGGCCAGTATCGTGTCCTGTGCATCCTTTCTCCCTAGGGCCAGGCTCATAGTTGAGTCTCAGTTGGTAAATGACAAGTGTGCTGTGGACTCTAAGCACTTCAGTATAAGCTCATCCCTGCTGTCCACAGCATCAATGAGCCTGAGACGCCTGCATTGCAGAACGTTTCTTCAGACATTCGAGTTTTTATTGCCCACCTACTATGTGCCAGGAGCCTGCTAGGCTCAGGGAGTCGAGGCAAAACCTCTGGAAATGACTGTCCTCCCCTCCGAGCTATCTGAGGTGCCTGCTTGCTCTCCTTCTGGGAGCACAGACACCCGCGGTGCAACTGGGGAAGCGCGGGGAGGAGATTCTGCAGCGGGAGCACTGGGGCTGCTGTGGGCCCTGGCCCAGCTCAGGCAGCGAAGAGGAGAGTCCTTCCAGGAGCCGGGGAGCCCCTGCCTTGGGGCCGGGAGTGTGTGATTGTGTGCCTGAGAATGGTGTGTGCACGTGTGCATGTGCATATGTATGTATTTGTGTGCAGGGACCATGATTTATTTTTTCCTTTAAATTAATTAATCTTTTCACTTGAATACATTTAAAAATGAAAGCTTCTATCACTACCATACATGTAAAGCTAACATTTTTCTAATGCATTTTAAGATAAATTGATAAATATTCAAGTTTTAAAATGTCTGTCTGTGGTGCTGCCTCGAACCACCGTATGTCCCCCAGTGGTATGTGCACCCTGTT